ACTGTCACAGTGACTCTGTAGTTATTTGTTGACTGTCACGGTGACTCTGTAGTTATTTGTTGACTGTCTCATTGACTCTGTAGTTTGTGTATTCAGTTATTTGTTGACTGTCACAGTGACTCTGTAGTTTGTGTTGTCAGTCATTTGTTGACTGTCACAGTGACTCTGTAGTTTGTGTTATCAGTTATTTGTTGACTGTCTCATTGACTCTGTAGTTATTTGTTGACTGTCTCATTGACTCTGTAGTTATTTATTGACTGTCTCATTGACTCTGTAGTTATTTGTTGACTGTCACAGTGACTCTAGTTTGTGTTGTCAGATATTTGTTGACTGTCACATTGACTCTGTAGTTTGTGTTGTCAGTTATTTGTTGACTGTCACATTGACTCTGTAGTTTGTGTTGTCAGATATTTGTTGACTGTCACATTGACTCTGTAGTTTGTGTTGTCAGATATTTGTTGACTGTCACAGTGACTCTGTAGTTTGTGTTGTCAGTCATTTGTTGACTGTCACAGTGGCTCTGTAGTTTGTGTTGTCAGTCATTTGTTGACTGTCACAGTGACTTTGTAGTTTGTGTTGTCAGTTATTTGTTGACTGTCTCATTGACTCTGTAGTTATTTATTGACTGTCTCATTGACTCTGTAGTTATTTGTTGACTGTCACAGTGACTCTAGTTTGTGTTGTCAGATATTTGTTGACTGTCACATTGACTCTGTAGTTATTTGTTGACTGTCTCATTGACTCTGTAGTTATTTGTTGACTGTCACATTGACTCTGTAGTTATTTGTTGACTGTCACATTGACTCTGTAGTTTGTGTTGTCAGTCATTTATTGACTGTCACATTGACTCTGTAGTTTGTGTTGTCAGATATTTGTACGCTCTCCCCTCACAATGTCCCCCCCCCCCCCCCGGCCAGCCCATGTACACATCCTTCCCCCTTTTCCTGATCTTGTGTATTTTTGTATTTGGCACTACAGAAAAATGCCAGATTCCCCAAAGCCAAGTTTTTTTGCCGTCTGTGTGACTACCATCTGGACACAGCCGAGGACTGCGAGAAACACATGAAAGACAACAGACATTGTCGCAGGAAGGAGGTAGGTTATCTAACGAGACACACATGAAAGACAACAGACATTGTCGCAGGAAGGAGGTAGGTTATCTGACGAGACACACGTGAAAGACAACAGACATTGTCGCAGGAGGGAGGTAGGTTATCTGACGAGACACACGTGAAAGACAACAGACATTGTCGCAGGAAGGAGGTAGGTACTCTGTAGCTTTGCTTCTCTGTATTGTTTACATTTTTGTTTGGGGAGGGGGGGGGGGATGGAATAGACGCAAAATAAAAAGAGAAAAAAACTAATGAAAGGCGTTGTCTGATTAAAGACAGGTCCTGAAGAGAAAAGGGGAAATTGCTGAAGTGCAGTGAAGCGGGAAAGTAGACATCTAATCTGCTGTCTAGGAATAGGAATGTACTGTTCTCTTTCTTCAGACAGACAATACGTTGTGAGGTTCTTCTGTCTACAATACGGTTCTTCTGTGTTGTATACAATACGTTGTGAGGTTCTTCTGTCTGTGTTGTAGACAATATGTTGTGAGGTTCTTCTGTCTGTGTTGTAGACAATACGTTGTGAGGTTCTTCTGTGTGGTAGACAATACGTTGTGAGGTTCTTCTGTCTGTGTTGTAGACAATACGTTGTGAGGTTCTTCTGTGTGGTAGACAATACGTTGTGAGGTTCTTCTGTGTGGTAGACAATACGTTGTGAGGTTCTTCTGTGTGGTAGACAATACGTTGTGAGGTTCTTCTGTGTTGTAGACAATATGTTGTGAGGTTCTTCTGTGTTGTAGACAATACGTTGTGAGGTTCTTCTGTGTTGTAGACAATATGTTGTGAGGTTCTTCTGTGTTGTAGACAATATGTTGTGAGGTTCTTCTGTGTTGTAGACAATACGTTGTGAGGTTCTTCTGTGTTGTAGACAATACGTTGTGAGGTTCTTCTGTCTGTGTTGTAGACAATACGTTGTGAGGTTCTTCTGTGTTGTAGACAATACGTTGTGAGGATTTTCTGTCTGTGTTGTAGACAATACATTGTGAGGTTCTTCTGTCTGTGTTGTAGACACTACGTTGTTAGGTTCTTCTGTCTGTGTTGTAGACAATACGTTGTGAGGTTCTTCTGTGTTGTAGACAACTTAGTATAGCCTCTGTTTTTTCCTGTTCAGATCGGAGAAGTGGACGCCATTCTGAGACTGATGCCTGCGCCGAGTGAGAAACAAGTGCGTGCGATCAGCGCGGCTGTGGAGGGAGTGTGTGAGCGACACGGCATTGATGAGTGGGAGCAGAACACGCGGCGTCACGTGGTCAGCAGGCTGGAGAAACTGGTGCAGGAGAAGATCCCTGGTATACTCGCCACGACCATATTTGGTCATCTCGTGAAGAGTATATGTACCACATTCACACGTGCACACCCACACACACACACACACACACTCACACACTCACACACACACACACACACACACACACACATTCACACACACACACACACACACACACACACACACACACACACACACACACTCACACACATC